ATTTTGTAGGAGGCCTTGGCTTCTAAATGAGCACTTTTATTGGGCCCAACAGAGCAAACCAACGAAGAGTTTAATCACAGTAACCAGTAATGAAATTCTGGTTGGTTGCAGAAGCTTGGTAGTCATAAACAGTTGACTGGTTAAAACAGTAACAAATAAAGTTATTTACTATTTCATTTTTCCGTAAATCTTTCTGATTTTATGTTGTTAGAGTTCTTAGAGTCTGCTCTGGATCAGAGAGCTGATTGATTCACTAATCATGTCTTTTGTTTTGCTCAAATAAATTTTACTAAGTATATTTGGTCAAGGAACTTTTCCTTTCCACAGTACCCCTGTATCTATCTGCCTGCTAGAGACATCATTGCCTGGTACCTTTATGGATTCTCTGGGGTAGAACAAAATTTCAGGGTCCTAATTCTTGTTAACTATTATACAGTAGCTGTTTGTCATTTACAAAAGTACTTAAGATGGAGGAATAAGATGGTGTGGCTACATTCTAGAAAATAATATTTACTGGGGAAAAGTGCAGTTAATGACTTTACAGCCTCAGTTGGGACTATTCCATTTCCTTGGAGGGATGTGGTAGCCTCTGAGACAGGAAAAGAAAGACATGGTTGGAAAAATGTCAAGTATTCTGGATTAGTATAGGTATGATCTGGTCTAGAAATAAAACCTAAGAAAGTATCTCCTTCAGAGAAGTCCCCAAAGAAAAAAATCCACCCAGCTTTTCCTCACCTGTGATCAAACTTCCAGGGGCAAGAGTTGTGCCAGTAACACCTGAAACAAGAGCCCAGTGGTCACTTCAGTGAATCATTCTGCCAAGAGAAGAACCCCATCTACATTCCATGTATGTTTTCCTTTGTTACAACAGATAGCCCTTTGGAGGCACTTTGCAGATACATAATCCTCTGAGCTTTTCCCTTTGGACTGTTCCATCCCCAAAACATATAGAGTGACTTTGTCAGGAGATACAGAATAGGACATCTAGAACAAAGATTAAAGATGATTCTCTCTCACGTTTACCTGGTGTATTATCAGGCTTATTCTTAGTTCCTTAGCTCTCTGCTTCAAAAGGGATTTTGCATGTGCTGACTACCAGAGAAAGTGGGAAGCCATTGAGTATTACTCCTGGTTAGTGGAATCTAGGAATCTGATCAAGATCTTTACCATTGGTTGGGATTTGTC